GGGGCGGGCACATGCAACAAGCCCCACCCCCTGCTCCCAGCAGCCCTCAGTCAGAGCAAGAAGCAGCCAGGTAAGTTGCAGAGCTCCCCCTGGCCCAAAACAAGACCAAGTTTTATTCAGGTACAAGCTCTCCCTCCTCTGCCAGGACTAGAGATGTGAAGCCGGACAGATTTTCCCCGTCCCCCCCCGCCCCAATAGCTAGCAATCCAAAACTGTCCAGTGGAGCCTGAGCAGTGTGTGTTGCCTTCTGACACGCTTCTGGTGATGTCAGGGGGTGTGGCATATGCAAATAAGTTATGCTAATGAGTTATGCCAATGAGCTCCTGCACCTCTTTTTCAACGAAATGACCCCTGCTCACAAGGCTCCGCAGCTTAGGGGGAGCATTGGTCTACATGTTCCCTTCTGGCATTTAGCGGGAATCTGACTTCCTCTTGGAGGCTTGAAGCATCCAAATTCCCAACTGAGTGGCTGCTGTTTGGAGCCAGGGGCTGGTTGCCTGGCACTCTGAAATCAGCAGCTGTAGCTTCTTCTCATCATGCTCCTCTCCGATTGGCTGGTGCTGCAGAGTGTGACAGGACGACCTCATAATCCACAACAAAGGCTTTGAGCAGCTAAGGCAGGCAGGCAGCTGTTTGGTCCAGTCATCCAAACTGGGTGTGTTCCAGGTTATGGTTTATTCCATTGCAGCTGCCGAAGGCAGAGATAGAGGCAGAAGTGGGCTCGGGTGAGCAGAGAAAAGCAGTGGGTTGGTTGGGCTACAGAGGACAACGGCAGCAGGAACAGGAAGGACGGGTGGGCCACCCTTGACCTAGGCTTCATTACTTCCCACTGAGTCAGTGGAATGAGATTATGCCGCTGGTTACAAGTGGATTGTGACTAGACGGCTGTACTGGGAAGGGGAGGAGCCCGGTTTGATGTTAAAATAAATGACCGAGATCAAAGAACAGCCCACTGACTTCTGCGCACCCCGCGGGGCTTCGTCCCTGTTTCTCAAAAGCTACTACACGGAGAACCACGTTTAAAACTAAGGGGACTTTCAAAAGCAGTTTTTGCCACTGGAAAACAGGAGCTGAGGGCAGGAGAAAAGCCCAGCAGATCTCCCCGCAGGCAAGTGGCATAGAGAAAACACCTGAAATCGAAGCTCAGGGACTCCTTTTATGGCAGCTGGTTTGGCTTTTCACATTTTACAAGGCCAGCGGCTCCAATCCAGGTACAGCCAGTCATGACAAAGTGACAGAACTAGTTGTGGGTTTCCCCCCCAAAGAGGGACAGTTTTGCAGAGTTTCCCCACTGCTGCTGTGGTTGCAAATACAGCGCAGCCCAAATAGGGCTTCTGCGTGGCCGCTCCCTCCCCCCCACAATTTCCCCTGCCTCCAGTCTCCTGACGGTGGCTATCCCACCCCCACACTGCTGGGGATTTGATTAGCAGTGGATCATGTATGTCTCTATAACATTCTAAAGAATCTGCCTGAATTCCCATCTTTTGCTTTTTGGAAAAGGTAAGTCTGTAGCCTCTTTTGTTGCAGAGATATAAGGAGAAAGGCATATCTCCCCAACAAAAGGGGCTAGGGACTTACCTTTTTTAAAAAAGTCCAAAAGCCTGGAATTCAGAGACCATAATAGACACATTGTTATAACGTTATAATGATACTCAGGTGCAGTGTTCCCTCTAAGCTGAGTTAGTGTGAGCTAGCTCACAGTTTTTAGGCCTCTGGCTCACACATTTTTGGCTTAGCTCAGGAGGGATGGCTCCAGAGCAGTGTTCCCTCTAAGCTGAGTTAGTGTGAGATAGCTCACAGTTTTTTAGCCTCCAGCTCACAGATTTTTGTCTTTGCTCAGGAAGGGTGGCTCCAGAGCAAACTAATTTATACAGTAGCCAAATCGCTCGCTCACAGCTTTAAAGCCAGTAGCTCAGAAAGCAGAATTGTTGCTCACAAGACTCCACAGCTTAGAGGGAACATTGCTCAGGTGTCAGTTAAAAATAAAAGACTCCCATGATCGCAGGAGGGGCGTGGCTGCTGCTGGGATAGGGGCAGGAAAAATGGCTGCTGTGTGGGCGGGGTTGGGGCCATCCAAACTTTCCCACCCACATGGCACCCCCCAGGCCTTGCTGCAATCCTTTCCAAAATTTTGCAGCAAATCAAGTTTGGGAAAGATCAAAGGTGGGAGAGACCTGGGAGGTGCAGGGAAACACCTCGATGCTGTGGGGAAGCAGGAACTTAATTTTTTAAGATTAAAACCGTTTCTATGCCACTTTTCTGTGGGTTCCCAACAGCATCGAACCCAAGGCATGTACCCAGTGTGGAAAATGTTGTGTCTAACTTGTTTGACTGGGTTCAGTGGTACTTCATGAATAACTAATTTTACTTTGGTTCAGGTGGGTAGCTGTGTTGGTCTGAAGCAACAGAACAAAGTTTGATCAGAGTTGAGATTTCCTGTTGTCCTTAAGATAGAATGTGTTGGAAATCCCCGGAACAACAACACCTCAGGCTCCAAATCAGCCTAGAATTCTTTACAGACAATTCAAGAATGCCAGAATAAGTTGAAACTTTGTAAAGGAGAATTTTAGAACTGAAGTTTGAACGCTAATACTTTTTACTTGTAGGCTTTTTCTCCAGTACGCCATCGTTGTGATCCTGCAGAAGCTAATTGTGATTTAAGACCCATTGGGGGGGGGGGGACAACAGCACCAATTAATTATGACTGACTTGACTCTCCTTGTTTTATTTTTAAGAACATAAGAACATAAGAGAAGCCAATGTTGAAGCAGGCCAATGGCCTATCTAGTCCAACACTCTGTCACACAGTGGCCAAAAATACCAGGTGCCATCAGGAGGTCCAGCAGTGGGGCCAGGACACTAGGAGCCCCCCCACTGTTGCCCCCCCCCAAGCACCAAGAAGACAGAGCATCCCTTGCCCCAGACCGAGAGTTCCTATCTATACCTTGTGGCTAGTAGCCCCTGATGGACCTCTGCTCCGTATGCTTATCTAATGACTCATGACTGATTGTAGCTGGAACAGCGCCCTGTTCTTTGTGTAGCTTTTACTGTAAATGCTTGGTATCTAAAGCAATTCTTTACTGTGAAAAAATCAGTCTTACACCGAAAGCTGCACTTCGGAAGTGGTGGGGGAATTAAATGTATGCCTTGTTCATGAATTCAAATTTCACACAGAATTACAGCCCAGGTTCATAGTAATTCAGTTCAACACACACACACACACACACACACCGTTTGGAACAATGTCAGTTGGAGGTCCCTGCCCCACTCTTCAGGGAAGGGCTGAAAGGACAGAGGGGTCCAGCAGGGGAGGGGGGCTGTCTCCACTCTCTGGGAGGGTTCTCTCTCTGTTTCATTTCTGAACAGCAGGGGGAGAGTCTGGCTGCAGGGGCCAGGTCTTTCCCCTTCCCTCCTCTGTCGCTGGGGCTTTTGGTGGTGGAAAGTGTCTCCAAGCCACAGCTCACTTATGTCGACCCCACTGGGTTTTCAAGGCAAGAGGTCTTCAGAGGTGGTTTGCCATTGCCTAGCTGGGCATAGTGACCCCGGAGGTCGATGGTGGTCTCCTGTCAGGTTCCACAGCCAAACAATTGAGTTAGAGTTGCCAGGTCTGGGTTGGAAAATACCTGGAGACTTTGGGGGTGGAGCCATGTGAAGGTGGGGTTTAGGGAGGGGAGGGGCCTCAGCATGGTACAATGCCATAGAGTTCACCCTTCAGAGCAGACATTTTCTCCAGGGGAGCTGCTCTCTGTCAGCTGGAGATCAGTTGTAAAAGCAGAAGATCTCCAGGCCCCACTTGGAGGCTGGCAACCCTAAATTGAGTACACGCTTGTCATAAGGTTATACTTCTTTGTAAGAGCTATAGAGGCAGTAACATCACCACTGTTAGGAATGGCTACCTTCCTACAAGCATAATGGGATATAGGGTATTCGTATGCAAAAAAACCACCCCCCATCCCTAGGCCAATCGGCCTGACTCCTGCGCGCGGGAGAATGGGGTCCCAGGCCGCTAAAGCCAAAGCTGGGAAGCGAAACTAATCCCATGGGTAATTGATGGGAAGACACTACACAGACAGCCTACAAGGTCAGAGATAATAAGGAAGGAAGGAATGCAGCAGCAGTTGGTACACAGGTCAAGCAGATGCAGCCCTGCCCATAAACATCATGGCAGCATAGCTGACATTTCCCATCCAAGTATTAACTAGGGCCGACCTTGCTTAGCTTCCAAGGTCTAATGAAATCGGGCTACCCTGGGCCCTCCATGTGAGAGCTTTTAGTTCTTTGTGATAAATTTGGTCATATTCAAGGGTTTCGTGCAAGTGCAGGCCACGTCAGCAGGGGTGGGACTTCTCCATCTCTAACGTTTTATCCGCATAGCGGGGGTGTCATCAGAAGAGCCCTGCAGGGGTCAGACCAGGGAGGGTCCCTCTAGTCCAGCCTCCCGTCTCACACAGGGGCCAGCCAGTTCCTCTGGAGGGCCAGCAACAGGGCAGAGAGGCCGAGGCCTTCCCCTGATAAGAACATCCGAAGAGCCCTGCAGGGGTCAGACCAGGGAGGGTCCCTCTAGTCCAGCCTCCCGTCTCACACAGGGGCCAGCCAGTTCCTCTGGAGGGCCCACAACAGGGCAGAGAGGGCGGGGCCTTCCCTTGATGTTGTGTGTGCAGGACCTTTGAGTATGTCGTATCCTTTGAGTACGCAGGCCCTCCTCCTCAGAAAACACGGGTGACTGCCTTGGAGAATGGGTGGGGGTCTCTAACAGAGCTCTAAACATCTTCACCAAGCGACAGTTCTGAGGATTCTTTGGGGGAAGTCTTGCCAGTCATACAAGTATGAATCGGACACTAAGACTGTCATGCGGATGCCTCAAAGGGTTGCATGGAAGGAAATTGCAAGGAAGCCCAAGGCTTTCATGAGCTGCGTGGAATTATTGGTGGGCTGTTCTTCGTTCTTGCACACAGACTGTTCTCCTGATCTCTTCCATTTGTGTTATGTTTCTGCTCCAGGGGCAAATCCAGGACAATTATTTTTGATCAGTTTAAGGAAGCACTTCAGGAACTCTCCAAGAAACGGTTTAAAGATAAGAGCAACGAGGAAGCGCTGCAAGAAATGCACAAGCTCGTTGAAGGGAAAGCACCAGTCATATCTGGAGTCACGGTACGGTCACCTGGCTTACGGTAAACCTTGCTGTCTTCCCCCAAAACCTCTCTTAGCGCCTGAGCCTTCTAGTTGCCCCTCACAAGAAAAGCCCTTAGTCACCCTGAGTGTATATATGCACCCAGTCTCTTTAGCTAAGTTTGGTGTAGTGGTTAAGTGCGCGGACTCTAATCTGGGAGAACCGGGTTTGATTCCTCACTCCTCCACTTGCAGCTGCTGGATGAGCTTGGGCAAGCCATAGTTCTGACAAGAGCTGTGCTTTCAGAGCAGTTCTTTCAGAGCAGTTTCTGTCAGAGCTCTCTCAGCCCCGCCTACTTGACAGGGTGTCTGTTGTGGGGAGGGGAAGGGAAAGGAGTTTGTAAGCCATTTTGAGACTCCAAGTGAAGAGCGGGGGATAAATCCAATCTCCTCCTCCACACCTCCTAAGCAAAGATACTTAGAAGGAGGTTGGCCAGTGGCAAACAGGACAAAAAGCACTTAGAGAGCCAGTTTGGTGTAGTGGTTAGGAGTGTGGACTCTAATCTGGGAGAACCGGGTTTGATTCCCCACGCCTCCACATGCGTGGAGTCACTCCACAGACTGGTAGCTCGCTGGAGTGACCTTGGGCAAGCCATAGTTCTGTCAGAGCAGTTCTTTCAGAGCAGTTCTCAAAAGAGCTCTCTCAGCCCCACCTACCTCACGGGGTGTCTGTTGTGTGGAGGGGAAGGAAAAGGAAGCTGCTCTGTAAGCTGCTCTGAGACTCCAAGTGAAGGGTGGGGTGTAAATCCAATCTCCTCCTCCTCTTCTCCTAAGCAAAAATACTTAGAAGGAGGTTGGCCGGTGGCAAACAGTGGACAAAAAGCACTTAGAGAGCCAGTTTGTATGTTGTGGTTAGGAGCACGGACTCTAATCTGGGAGAACCAGGTTTGATTCCCCACTGCTCCACATTCAGCTGCTGGTGTGACCTTGGGTCAGTCACAAGTTCTTTCAGAGCTGTTCTCTCAGGAGCAGTCCTCGAAAGAGCTCCCTCAGCCCCACCTGCCTCACAGGGTGTCTGCTGTGGGGGTGGGAAGAGAAAGGAGACTGTAAGCCACTCTGAGACTCCTCCAGGTAGTGAAGGACAGGGTATAAATCCAATCTCCCCCTCCTCCTTCCTCTCTTTCTGACTCACAAGCATTTCTATTTCTGTTTGTTTTTTTAAAGCCCCTCTAACACTGAGTCAGAATTTTGCAAAATTAACAATAGACTAGATGCGTGGACAGAATGTTTCTTAGTCAGCTCAAGAGCTTATGATCGTGCAACTAAATGGAAAGTGAGAGCTCTGAACGAAGGGTCTCTTTTCAAGAGGGGATGGAACGGCTTTCCTTTTACGTATCCAGGTGTTGTAGAAGTAGGGAAGCTTCCCTTTCTGCCCAGCTTCCTTCCTTCATCCACCTAAAAAGTCTTGGCCCCTTGGAAGCAATTTGTTTGTACTGCACTTTTTTGTTGTTGTTGTTCAGTCGCACAGTCGAGTCCGACTCTCTGCGACCCCATGGACCAGATCACGCCAGGCCTTCCAGTCTTCCGCCGTCCTCTGGAGTTTGCTTAATTTCATGTTCGTTGCATCTATGGCACTGTCTCACCATCTCATCCTTTGCCGTCCCCGTCTTCTTTGACCTTCAGTCTTTCCCAGCATCAGGGTCTTCTCCAGTGAGTGCTCCCTTCTCATTGGGTGGTCAAAGTATTTGAGCTTCAGTTTCATTATCTGGCCTTCCAGGGAACAGTCCGGGTTGATTTCTTTGAGGATTGACTGATTGGATCTTCTTGCACTTTTACTGTCCAAAAAAGGCTTCTGTGGCACTGGTCCTTTTGGTCACTTGACCTTGTTGAGTCAGCGGGCTGCAATGCCTCTTTGGGGTGCAAGAGAGGCTGCTGTCTGGGCAGAATGAGTCAGGGGCTTATGAGATTCAACACCTAACAGCAGCTGAACCGGAAGTGAGCAGTAACCAGTTTCCCAAGGTCACACACATGGAGCTGCCTTCTACTGGCTCAGACCCTCCTTGGTCCGTCAAGGTCAGTCTCGTCTACTCAGACTGGCAGCGGCTCCCCAGGGTCTCAGGCAGAGTTTTTCAGCATCACCTCCTACTTGATCCTTCTATGGGGATGTCGGGGATTGAACCTGGGACCTTTTGCAGGCCAAGCAGATATTCTTCCACTAAGCCAGAGCCCCTCATTGAAGCTGGGACTGAGCCAGATTAACCCTCATGGTCTGTAGCTCGCTATTATGGGAGTTAGTCTGTCATCTTCTCTGGAAAGTGCCCGTGCTTTATGTGGCCAGAAGACTGAGAAACATCCTTTAATGTCTGAGAGTTGTCACAGCGCCTGGCAGGGGTTTCCCTTATCTCACGTTCATGTTTACTACAGCTGCTAGAATCGGTGGCCTTCAAGTGTGATGTGCCAGCAGAGATGCACTTTTGCTGTATGGGATGAAGATTCTCGGGGACTTGTTAGATATGTCCCACTCTGAAAATGGCAGCCCTGCTGCTGTCAGGGAGCATGAGGGTCAAGGGGAGACAGGGCACTGTGCTGCAGATAAGGGGAATGTGCCCTCAGAAGGGACCTCTTCTTCAGCTGGTGAAAGGGGATCCTTTCGCACCAAGGAACCATCCCTGGGCAGGGTGGGAGGGGGGCTCTTGGTAGTTGGTGATTCAATCCTTAGGCACGTATACAGCTGGGTAGCGAACCCGCGTACTGACCATATGGTGACTTGCCTGCCTTGTGCGAACGTAGCGGACATTACGCTTGTTCTAGATAGTGTCGGCTATGCTGCCATGATGTTTATGGGCAGGCCTGCATCTGCTTGACCTGTGTACCAACTGCTGCTGCATTCCTTCGTTCCTTATTATCTCTGACCTTGTAGGCTGTCTGTGTAGTGTCTTCCCATCAATTACCTGTAGGATTAGTTTCGATTCCCAGCTTTGGCTTTAACGGCCTGGGGCCCCATTCTCCCGGGGGCGGGAGTCAGGTCAATTGGCCTAGGGGTGGGGTGGGGTGCATACGAATACCCTATATCCCATTATGCTTGTAGGAACGTAGCCATTCCTAACAGTGATGATGTTACTGCCTCTATAGCTCTGACAATAAAGTATAACCTTATGACAGGGGTGTAACTCAATTGTTTGGCTGTGGAACCTGACATTCTGTTAGGAATCCACTTTCTCTATCTACGCGCCTCTCTCAACCCAAGATGAGTGACGAAGAGGAGAAACCTATCCCCACGACAACTGGGGAGGAAACCCCCATCACCCAGACCAATGTGCCGGTGACTACTACGCTACCGGTGACTACCCCGAAGAAGGCCCCAGAGCACGGAACAGTACCAAAGACGACCTCAACCCACCTTTTCCTGACCCCCTGCGGACCGAGGCAACCGCCCGGGCAGGGGTATCGACCAGGCTCGTTAAGGTGGCGCCGATTAAACCCGGATTAAATGGCGGAGACATACGTGCTCACGCAAGGGCCTCGGAGAGACAGCCGGTTTGATGTGGGATTTGCATCCGCAGGTGGCTTCCCCCCATTTGGGGGAGCCTTGGAAGCACCAAACGGGGCATGGGTGATGGGCCGTTCCAAGGCGCGGAGCGGCCATGCCTCCCCGGACGAGGGACTGGAGCTGGCCCACCGCCTAGAAGCGGTGGAGCGGGACAGGCGTCAACTAAGATGGGAGCTTGAGGAAGTAATCCAGGCGATCCCAGAGATGGTGGTGCAAGCCCTAAGGGCCGAGAGGGAGGCGCAACAGCCGGCTTCTGTTCTTCCCCCACCTCAGCTGGCACTCCCGGAACCGGCACCCCAAGGCCCGAGACTGCTGGGCCCGGTGGATGTGCCGGTGCCAAGACCAGGGGAGGGACCGGTACCGGCGCCCTGGCCAGGCAGCCCGAGAGGTCCCCTGCACCACCTCTCAAAGGACCTGATCGAGGCAACGTTCGACGGGGACCCGGAGGAACTGTCTTATTTTGTGGTTCGAGTGATGAAATTCGTGGAAAGGTGGAGCCACCTTTTCCCGGACGACAGCAGCCGAGTGGATGTTATTGCTGCCCGGTTATGTGGAGCTGCCGCGGCGTGGTATGTGGGACTACATAATGCGAGGGGCCCAGAGCTAGTGAGCCTGGACGTTTTTATGTGGGCATTGCGTGCCCAGTTCGAGGATCGGAATACCAGGCCCAAAGGGAGGGCTCTTACGCACCCTGAAGCAAGGGAAGCAGTTAGTGAGAGAATACTTGTCGGAGTTTAAATTGCATGCAGCCAAGGTCCAAAACTGGCCGGATCAGGTCTTAGCGGAGTTGTACCGGGTGGGGTTAAACCCAGAGATCTGCGAAACCGAGTAAGACTATGTCGGTCATTTGGGTTGTCGTGGATTTATTCAATAAGCAAGCGCATTTTGTCCTGTTCGCTTCCCTACCCACGGCAAAAGCATTTGCGAAAGCTTTCTTGCTCCACGTGGTCCACCTACACATGCTTCCGGCCAAAGTTATATCCGATAGGGAGGCCCAATTTGTGTCCCAGTTCTGGTGGAACCTTATGAAGCTTATGGGCGTTGAATGGGCGTTAAGCAGTGCCTATCATCCCGAGACCGACGGACAGACATAACGAGTAAATCAAACCTTGGAGCAATATCTGCGCTGCTTCACTAACTATCAGCAAGATGATTGGGTGGATCTCCTACCCCTTGCCGAGTTCTGCTATAACAGCACGTGTCACTCATCTACGGGGATGTCCCCTTTTAAGGTGCTGTATGGATATGACAGCCCCCCGGTGCCTTTCCTGGAGGAGCCAAAACTTCTGGAAGTTCTATGGGTTGAAATAGGGGAGCCAAAAGGAAACTTAACACTGGGAGTTTGTTATCGCCCACCAGATCAAAAGATAGAGGAGGATTATAAAATTATGAATAAATTAAAGATAGCAGCTAGACAAAAACACTGTGTCGTAATAGGTGATTTTAACTATCCACACATTGATTAGGTCACTATGTGTTCTAGTCGAGAAAA